TACTAGTAGAACAGTGGCAAAATAATTTTAAATCTCATATGAGGGTTGTTATGGTAATAGGAAAAGAAAATTTGAAAAGAGATGGGGAACATCATAAAAAACTTTCCGGAGTAGTGCATCTCAGCTCTGTTATGACCTCTGGGACAACCCTGAGTAGGGTCCTCGGTGGAGTGGGTTCGCCACACATGCTCTAATTGGACTCCCTGCTTCTCTTCTATAATCTGGGCCTTCCATAGTAGTGTAGCTACTGGTACAAAAAGAAATATGTTGCTCATTTTTTTTCTACTTGTATAACTGGATTTATTCCTGAACCCTGGGGAAGGCTTTGAAACTGGAGGTGATATTAAAGAGTTTCAGCCTTTTTGTCCATCTTCCATTTGTATTTTGAAGAGTGGTTACAAATCGCTCTAGGGAAAGTTGAGAAGCAATTAAGTTTAGGATTTAAGGGGAATATAGTAATCTGTTTCGCACTTTCCTTAGATAGTTTCTCAAAATCTCCCAGGTGATATATGTTTCAAAATAATATTGTTTTAATCTATTGATGACAAATGAATAGGAGCACTTGAATTGCTTCCAACCAGAAAATAAGATTAGCCTACAGTCATTTGTAATTCTTTGCAGCCATCTCTAACGTGATAAATAGGTATCTGCTAGATTCTCTATGCTGGAAGATCCAGATCCAGATAGTATTTGCTTGGGAAGGAAATATTTTATCTAAATCTTTTCAATTTGATGTTGCATCAGAGAAACAAGGATGATTATAACTTTTGTCCTACTCAATATACCATATTACTAATTTTGATATACTGTTAAGCTTTTTATTACTCAGTTAGCAAGGGTTTAGAATATTCTTGTTCTTCAATATGGGTAACTTAGTTTATGCTTTGAGTACTATTCGTGGAAGAGTATGGGCAGTGAATTATGTGTAACTCTTGAGTAAGTTTCATATCAGGGTACTGAAATGATATTGCTGTTGATATCATAAGGTTACTAGTAATTTTTGGTGATCTGTTTTCAATATATATACAAATATTAAGTTATCATGATGTATACCTGAAACTAATATAACATTCTATCAGTTACAGTTCAATAAAAAAGAAAATAAAGGACAGATGTGTCAGTCTTAAAATATCTTTAATCCAAAAAATTTAGCAACAGATTTTTATTTTGATTAAATGGGTTATTGAACTTATTGGTTATACTCAGTCAAAGTGTTCAAAGATTTCTACATAGAGTTATGGACACAAAACTAGTCATGGGTTAACTAATCTTAAAATGGGAAAAATTGAATACAAAAATTCACATTAATAACAATTGTATGAGATACACTTCCCATGGACTGGCACCGTGCTAACAATCACATTTCAAATTCTGACCAGTTGTGGACTGATAGACAAGGAATGCATGAATTGCCTATAATAAGGGCCATAACTCTCAAGGGAATTATTATGTAAATAATTCTGTTTCTTTACTGAACTATGTGGGGGGGGGCTTTAAGAATATGGTGTCCAGAATCTTTGATTTTCCATAGGTATGCTTGTGTTTGTGCAGTATGTACATGTGCACCATGTGTGGCAAAAGTGATGGTAGTATGAAAGGCTAAAAAATTCCAAGGGGTGGAAAGAGATCTATGGAAACCTGAGTAAACAAGGAATTCCAATAATATAATATTTTAATATAATAATAACGATATTCTAATTTGTGCATCTCTATGTACCTGACATTGTGTTGGGTACTTCTATTTATGAAACATACCATTAGTTTATGAATAATCAATGAGTCCTGTGCTACTATTTTTAAGAATTCCAGACACTTGGACCTCATTCTTGCAGACTCTGAAAATCTACATCATTGTATGGTCATTCTCCTATAGCTCTTCTATTTTTGTATCATAATTACTTGGATGCTTAACTTATTTTCCATGTTAAACTCTACACTTCTTGATTGCTATTCACCTTATTTGTATAGTGGTTTTATACTCAGTGGATAAATGCTAAATATCTAGTTAGTGAGCGAATGTATTTTTCTCTTGATCTGAGTTCTACAAATGGTAAACACGGCAATGCAACATCATAATCCAAGACAATTAATACATATGAAAGTAATCAGCCATTCTAAATAAATAGCAGGATCCTACTAATAACACAAAAGTAACTGTGCTCACAAAAATTAATACTATAACTATGACTACTAATTTAACATTATTTTTTCATTGCTGAGCTTGTTAATAAAAATGCTACTTTCTTTCCTAAAGGAATCTCCATAATGCAAATGTTTCATAAGTATATTTTATTCTACAAGTATTTGCATGTTCAAATTTGTGAGGCCCAGAATTTCATACTGCCAGTCTCAAATTACCATTTAAAGTTCTAATGCTGAAATTTGCAAAGGTGTAATTAGGAGGTGAAATAATAAAACCCTCCAGTGTCCACAATACAAAATGTCAGTGCTGCTAACAATTAAATGTGGTAACATTTAAATAATGAACTTCCATTGACACCCGAAGAATAAAATGTAGCTATTAGGACGACATCTACATAGCAGATGATTTCACAGGAAAGCGCTCAGACCTCCATCAAGTTAGGAATCAATAGAACCTAGGCAAGTGTGGTACAAAGGCAAGGTCTCAGCTCCTGAAAGGCCCTCTGTGCTAGAGCTATATTAAATTATCACAGCTAATGCAAAACCAACCTTGGAGTAAAAGATAAAAGGGTGAAGTTCTCACAAATGATCATTTATCACTCCATTCCGAAATGCAGACAGCATTCATTATAGATCGAAATGCCACTCAAATTTCATCATTTAGTAGGGTTTTGAAACAGCCAAACCATTAACAGGGGAGAGTAGCTTTTTATATTTATACAACCAGTGACTAATGAAACATTATACTCTGTGTGCAAAAGGGGTGAAAAAAAACACCTTTATTTTGTAATGAACCCAATTGGAGCCCTTTTAAACACAGTGTAATATGGTCTCACTGTTTCATCGAGCCTCTCATTACTTGTGTCGATAATCCTGGGTAAACTACTGTTGAACTTCACAGCATTTATATAGTAGCATGAATAGCATTAAACTATGGGGTGCTTTTGACAAATTGTAGTTCAAAAAGCAAAGCCAAAAAATTACTTCTTACAAAATGCTTAGAAAAGCATTTATTAGAAATGTGTCAACTGCCAACTACCTAAAGGCAGCTTGGCTACTTAGGAAATCATGCTGTTGTCTGGCTCACAGACACTTGGAACACATGTGAATTTTCCCCACTTGAATTACTTTTAAAAAAAACAAACAACATTCTTTTTATTTAAGTATAGGATTTTCTGCCACTCCCTTCTAATTCTATATTTATAATTTCATATTGCTTTCCACATAATGTGACATGCTGTGCAACAATCCCCCAGGTCCCAAGAAACTCTCAGGTGAGAGAAGCACTTAGAAAGTTAAGGGTGAATCTGACTAGACTTCATTTACATGAGTGCATGATCTACACAGCCAGGTCAGCATGAATGGAAAGCTACTCCCAAATTATGCTCTAAGGATACACTCAATGATTCCATTCTCTCTGGAAGAAAGGTGGCAGGAGTGTCTACAAGGATTCACCACATTTAATTCCAATACATCAGTCTAATTTGATTAGGCTGATCTTTCTCAAAAGATTGAATATGCACAATTTATAATATGCTAGAAATTAATCTCTCAGCTCTACTTTCAAGATGTTTGTATGTGGATAGCCTAGGATAGTCTATTCACTGAGAACCTTCATTTGCCTTTGACAACAAAGTAGTATTTAGAATTAAGAGATTGTATACACCAAAGCAATTTAAAAGTAGAATATTAGCTTACTATATTAATTTTTATCCAATTTTGACCTGCATTACAGTAAAATAAATACCTGGGTAAAAACATAATATAATTATTGTTTCCCTAAATTTAAATATATTTTCAAAGAATTTAATTTTACCCCCCAAATTCTTTTTTTGTAACTAACTCATGCTTCTTACAGTATTCTATAATTTAGTCCATGAGAAAATATATCAAATAAACCTACCCTCTTCATTATGTCTAAGATCCACTAGATTTATGAAAACATCATGATTTATGTAATACTTATTTTGAATACTGTAATAATGTGTAGAACGCAGTACTAGTCTTAGTAAAGTTTTCTTGGTGAAATATATGAGGAAAATGTTCCACTCCCCATAGCTTTTCTCTGTCGGAGATTCATAATATACTCTGCATATTAAAAAGTTCTGAGAAATTCTTCAACAAAGAAACCTGACTAACTTTGTTTATTGCAATATTTTTCAATCTCATCAAAGTTATCTCCATCCAACAATATGTTAGTGTTACAGTATAAACAACATAATGTGGCTTTTGGAGGTTGGAAAAAGCTGGTACTTTTCAATCTTGTGTGTTAATATTTATTTCTGAATTTTGTTATATATACTCAAATTGTGAGGTTAGTGGAGTGGAAAAAATGTCTGTGGGTGTTTTAAATATTGTTCATAAGAAATTAACACAGTTGTCATTAATATTGCATACCTCTATTTCTGCTCCATCTCAATGACATTCTATCATTCTTTGTGAAACCAGTTACAGTGATTATAAGTACATTTTAATGACAATACAACCAAAATTAGCTTATGGGAAATATAATCTTTATGATTCTGATTTATAACTAAAAGCATTTATTTGTATAATTGAAAGAAAACCATTAATATAACTTAATAGTCACCACACAAAATTACACAATATTTTTGTCATAAGGATAACTTATCACAAAATTAATTTTTATTTTTAGTGTATCTTTTAATTTTATTTTATTAGTTTGACTCGGAACACTTTAAAAGTGAATCTTGGAGATATTTACACTTATGAGACCTTCTGAAAGAAAAAGAAAAACCTATTTAATTTTGTGTATTATTCTAAAGACTTTGAAAACTTTAAATAATTTCTCAAGGGATTCATTATTTCACATATGATGATGTCAAAACGGTACTTACCATGTACAATGAGAACATACTCTGCACTGCTTTGGCCAATGGTGTTGGTGGCTTCACATCGATATGTACCGTTATCCGTTTTGTTCAGGAAAAGAATATTTAGCTCTCTACCACTCACAACCATCCGATCAGGATCTGGTAATTCTCCACCGTCCTTTGTCCACAAAACAGGTTCTGGCCTATTGGATGTAAACACACATATAGTTAGAAAAATTAAGAAAATGCTACATATTTTGTGAATTAAATAAATCAAGCAGTTTAACACCCATTTTGTGCATAAACATGTGCTAACTTCTATAAGGTACCAAAAGAACCATCATGCACTCACTCAGAAGATTTGAAGGGATGACAAATATACTTTAGTTCTATCCTGCTTAACTAGGCAGGATATGCACTTTCTTAGACATGCACTAAAAAAGTAATTGGTTGAGTCATCATAGGAGTCCCTGATATATAGCAGGTCCTGTGGCCCTGATCTGCTGCTAATGACTCACACTTGCTAATGTTTGGAGAACTGTCCTTGAGCTATCGGAACAGCTTTTTCCCCAGAGGAACCTGGAATGATACTTTTGCACTAGGGCCACCATTGTGACACAGTTGTTGCCTGAGACCACTTAAAGCTTTTCCCCTTTATCTCTCCTGCTTTTCTCATTTCCCTAAATGTTATTATTGATAGTTCTCTCATTTTTGCCCCTAGTTTTATTAATATACAATTAACATGTAATGCTGTATTAGCTTAAGGTGTACAACATAATGAATTGACATATGCATATATTGCAAAATGATTATGACAATAAGATTAGTTAACATTCGTAGCCTCACATAGTTATAATTTTTGTGTGTGATGAGAACTTTAAAAATTACTGTTAGCAATTTTGAGATATGCAATGCAGTCTTGTTAACTATAGTAATCATGTTATACATTACATCCCAGGAGTTTTTATTTTATAACTGGAAGTTAATACCTTTTGACCACATTCACATATTTACCCTACTCCCACCCCATCTCTGACCTCTTTTATTCAACATTGTACTTGATGTCTTAGCCAGAGAAATTAAGCAGGAAAAGTAAATAAAGAGCACCCAAATTAGAAAGGAAAACTCACTATTTATAGATGTTATGGTACATACAGAAAACCCTAAAGACTTTACCCCCACACTTCCCCCAAATACAAACTGTTAGAACTAATATGTGAATTCAGTAAAGTTGCAGACTACAGAATAAATATACAAAATGAATACATTTCTATACAGTAGCAGCAAACTATCAGAAAAATAAATCAAGAAAACCACCCCATTTACAACTTAATCAAAAAGAATAAAATACTTAGGAAAAATTTGATCATGGGTCAAAGATATGTACTCTGAAAACTATAAGACATTGATGAAAAACATTAAAGAAGACATAAATTAAAATACATTTAATTCATTGCTTATAAATTCAAAAATTAATATTGTTAAAATATCCATATGACCCAAAGCCATCTACAGATTCAATTCAATCCCTATACAATTTTCAATGACATTTTTCCAAGAAACAAAACAACAATCCTAAAATTTTCAAGGAACCACAAAGACCCTGAATAACCAAGAAATTTTGAGGAGGAAGAAAAATATCTAGATGGATTACATTTTCTGGTTCCAAACTATATTACAAATCTATAGTAATTAAACCAGTATGATATTGGCATAAATACAGATATATAGATCAATGGAAAAGAATAAGGAACCCAAAAATAAACCCAAGCACAAGTGGTCAATTAATTTTTTAATAAGGAGTCAAGAATACACAATGGAGAAAGGACAATTTCTTAAATAAATGATGCTGCTAAAACTGCCAAAAAAAAAAAGCTGGATCTCTATCTTATACAATACACAAAAGTTATCTCAAAATGAATGACAGAGTTGAATGTAAGATCTGAAGCTATTAAACTACGAGGAGAAAACATAGACAGCAAGCTCCTTGATATCGATCTTGACAATATTTTTTGGATTTAATACCAAAAGCAAAGGCAACATAAACAAAAATAAATGTGTGACTGTTGGTGTTCCATGCCATTAAGTCAACTCCTGGTGACCCTATGAATGAGTGATGTCTACAATATCTTATCCTTAATAGCCCTGCTTAGCTCCTGTAGACTCCTGCCCATTGCTTTTATGAAGTGAATCTCTCTCATATTTGTTGTTCCTCTTTTCCTGCTGCCTCATTTTTTCCTGGCATTGCTGTTTGTTTGTTGTTTTCCCAGAGAATCATGCCTTTTCATTATGTGCCCAAAGTAGGACAGCTTTTTTTTTTTTTTTTTTGTAATTTTTACCTCCAGCAATGTTTCAGGTTTAATTTGCTCTAGAACACACTTATTCACCTACCTGGAGGTCCAGGGTCTCTTAGAGCTCTCCTCCAACACCATATTTCAAATGAATCAATTGTTTTCCTATTAACCATCTTCACTGTTCAGTTTTGGCACCCAAACAACATAGCAACTGGGGATACAAGGGTTAAATGACCTTAGCTTTTGTCTCCAATGACACGTCTTTTCTCTTGATGATCTTTCCTAATTCATCCATTGCTGTCCTTCAAGTCTCAGCTTTCTCTTAAATTCATGACTACAGTCTTCATTTAAATTAATGACTGAACCAGGACAAGCAAAATCTTCAAGAATTTCAATATCTTTACTGTCTATGTAAGGTCATGTATTTCTTCTACAGTCTTGATGTTAGTTTTCTTGATGTTCAAATGCAGTGATGCTTTGGTACTTTCTTTTTTCATTTTCATCAGAAGCTTCTTCAAATCATTGCTACTTTCTGCCAATAAAATATGTCATTTGCATATCTTAAGTTATTGATATCTCTTCCACCTATTTTAATCTTCCTTCCTCTGAATTTAGCCCCATTTTTGACAGGATATGCTCTGTGTACAGATTAAACAAATAGAAAGATAAAAATGCATTCATGTCTGACAAATCTGCCTATAGAAAGTCACTCTGTCTCTCCATATTCTATCCTGACAGTGGCTTCCTGTCTGTAACACTCTTTATGTATCCAGATGATCAAGTGCTGGGGCATGTCACTTTCTTTCAGAACAACCCCTAGTTTTCATGATCCATGCAGTCAAAGGCTTTACTGTAGTCTATAAAACATAGACTAACATTCTTCTGGAATTCTTTGGAGCACTCCAATATTCAGCAAATGTTTGTGATTAAATTTTGAATATCTTTTACCTTGTTGAGTCCAGCATTTCTTGCTCCATGTAAGGTAGAAGAAGCCTCCATTGCATTACCTTGAGCATCACTTCACTTTTGTGGAAAATTAGAGCAATGGTCCTTATTACTGCACTTATTGGAATCTCATTTATTGAAAATTAGGATGTATATTGAATATTTTCAGTCTGTTGGCCATTGTTTGGTTTTCCATATTTGTTGATATATCCTTGTTAGGATATTTACAGATTCAGTCTTTATGGCTTGAAATAATCCCATCAGTGTCACATCTAACCTTAGTGATTTACTTGTCCTCGGTACTTTCAGGGTAGCTTTCACTTCAGTTTCTAGAATCATAGGTTCTTCCATATAGGAATGTTCTTCAAAGGTGTCTGTCATCCTTTTGTCTCTTCTGTATAGATTTTCACTAGATTGTTTCCACCTTCCTTTTATGTTCTCTTGGTTAAGAAATATTATTCCTTGGTCATTCAGCATTAGTCTAAGTTTGAATTTTCCAAATCTTCTGGTAGAGATCTCTTGTTTTTTCTTTTTATATTGTTCTCTTCTACCTCCTTACATTGACTAATGTAATAGTTCTCTTTATCTCTACATGATACTTATTGAAAAACTGCATTCAAAGCCGATCAATGATTCTCTCTCATTGATGTTTCTCTCTCTCCCTCTCTCTCTTTGAAACCAATAAAAATATATTAAAAATTAATGCATATGAGAATATAGGAGATTAGAGATGTATCTAAACTCTGTTCTGACTCCATTGTAAATGCTTAGTGTACTATCTCGTGCTTTCTAACATGGTGAATATTTTCCTAGTTCTTCAGAATTTTCTAATTTAAACATAATTTAACACATCATCTACAATTATTTTTGGAAAATATTTAATTATTTGTTTATTTTGGAGAAAACACTGAAGTTATGGATACAATACGAATATATGTCTTATTAAGTGGTGGCTATAACTATCACACATTTTCTGAGAAAAAGATTATATTTTTTGACAAAATTTTGTCAAACAGATAAAATTTGTGAACCAAATAATAATAAATATTGAAAATCCTATTGAAACAAGCAGATTGGAAATGTTATAAAAGAATTTCTTAGTTTAAATAGTAAAAACTTGGAGAAAGAACAAAGAAGACAGTTTTATTAGGACTGTACCCATGAAACTTCTGAAAGAGGATTCTATGAAAAATAAAATGAATAAGAAACTAGTTATCCAAAGCTATTGGAAAATATAATAATTTATATAATCTAATTACATGGACAACTCACTTTCATAGTATCTTTTATAAAAGCCACACCATTAATACTTCTCAATTTGATTCATATATCTAACATCTGTTAGTTACTATTTGCATTTAGTAATTCTTATTTTAAAACTGATAGCCTGAATAATCTTGTACTATAAACTCCTTTTGAGGTTCAATAAACTCATGACTCCATGCATTAAACTGAAATATTAGAAGTTATGTTCTTTCTACAAAGCCACATTAAGCCAACTTTAAGATAACAGTTAATAACTAGTTAAGGGATGTATTTTATTATATTAAGAGACAATACTTTTTTGATATATAAGTTAGATTTTTTAAACACACACAGATATGATTATATGCATATAAACATACATTTTCATAAACTTAAAAATTATGCTACCTACCCAAATCCAAACTGCCATGATTTTTTCTGCCAATGTTCATAAGCTTTTAGTCACAGTTTAATGACTCCTCTGTAAATATGTAATTAAATGTAGATATATCTTTTAAAATAGTGTGTATAAAAATAAAGTTAAAGACCTAGATACATTTTCAAGTTGCCAATCTTTATATTAAAAAAACCTTTTAAAAAGCCTCTGTTTTAAGAAATAATGAAAAATAAACTAAAAATAGTGTTACTAATGACACTAACATTGCAGATTTCTAGATCCTACAAATATATGATAGTAAATCTTCAAGATGGCAAAAAGT